CGGCTGTGTGTGTGTGTGTGTGTGTGTGTGTGTGTGTGTGTGTGTGTGTGTGTGTGTGTGAGAGAGAGAGAGACAGAGACAGAGACAGAGACAGAGACAGACAGAGAGAGGGAGAGATGCTTCACTATAGGATCTTTCCTCTTCAACGCAGAGAGCTTCAGTGGGATGACCAGGGGAGTAAACACAGTCACACATCCACTGACTGTTCCAGTGAGCCCTTGTTTTCCCCAAGTTTGGCTGTGTCCGTCTGCTCGGAAGGGTTTGGAAGAAGTAACTGGGCTTGGCTTCCCTGCCACCGAGCCTAGGGAAGCGCTGCCAGCAGCCCACTCTCTTTTCATGTGGGTCTTAAAGGATCCCCGCTATGTCCTCCTTTGTTTCCCAGTTCTCTGTCAGAAATGAAGTAATGGCCACCAGCCACGTCACAGATGAATGGATGACACAAATGGAAATGAGTAGCCTGAACACTTACATTGTCCGCCGTTACATAGCAACACCCAATGGCGTCCTCAGAATTTATCCCGGTTCCCTCATGGACAAAGCATTTGATCCCACTAGGAGACAATGGTGAGTTTTCGGGGCTTCCATTATCAAAGATTCCCCCCAAACCCTGGAGAGACATAAGTACATACTATAAAGCAACTTTAGGCGGCCACACTAAGGAAGGTACTTTCATGGCAGTGAGAACATGTTTTTGAATAGTTTCTTTTTAAATGTATTAACAACAGCTTTGTGGGTTTCCTCTGCGTACAATGTTTTTATCTCCTCATTGAAATTTTGAGGCCGAAATGCTTTATGCTGGGCCTTCCCACCTCCTGGTGGCTTGTTGATTTCTGCCTCGTGTGCAGTGTCTGTAGTGGGTATACTTAGTGTCACCGCACATGACTGTGGAGTCAAATGACAGCTCATGTGTGACCTGTGGAAAATGAACATGTATAAATTCAAAAACCTTTTTTTTTTACTTCTGGGCTTTCTTTTTACTCTGATTTTCAAAAACAAATGCCAGTCAGGTGGTATAGCAGGGGAGCATCTTGGGCGTAAACACGTGATTTCTAGTCTTAGTTACTAATGAGTCGGCTATTTTTCTTACTGCCTGTTTCCCCACCCTTACCAATCCAGGGTGCATTTTTATGTGACGAATTGTATCAGTTGAATTAATCATTCATTAATTTCTTTTTATGTTAGCCTCTAAAACATCCAGACTATAGATCTTATTAAAAGCCCAGATATATCCTGAGTTCTGTATCTTATTTAAAGGAGCATTTTAGATTTTCTTGACCTTTTGTGTTGAGGCTTCGGTCAGATATGAAAGATTTGAACTCTTTTGAATTTTATTGTAACATAGGCATTATTTATAATAAATATTTTTTGACCTTTTAAAAAAATTTTTCAAATTACAGTTTGCATTCAAAATTATTTTGTATTAGTTTCAGGTGTACAGCATAGTGGTTAGACAGTTGTATACTTTATAAAGTGCTCCCCCGATATTTCTAGTACCTACCTGGCACCATACATAGTTATTACAATATTATTGACTATATTTCCTATGCTGTACTTTACATCCCTGGGACTATTTTTTAACTACCCATCTGCACTTCTCAGTCCCTTCACTTTTTTCACACAGTCCCCCAGAAATACTTTTTTTAAGTTACGAGCTCACTTTTCTTTGAAATTTACAGAATTGTTCATACCCTAAAATAACATGACTTTCTTTGGTTTCTATTAGGTATCTCCATGCAGTAGCTAATCCAGGGTTGATTTCCTTGACTGGCCCTTACTTAGATGTTGGAGGAGCTGGCTATGTGGTGACCATAAGTCACACAATTCATTCATCCAGGTAATATTTTAATCAGTTTTTCATCATTTCTTGAACATAGCAAGGGTATTTTGAAAATTTGAATAGATTAATGGCAAAAGTGTGGCCTTTGAAGTGAGGCAAGCTGAGGTTTGAGTGTGTTCTTCAGTCTTGTCATCTTGGATTCCCTGTGCTTGCCCCTGCCATCTGTAAAATGGGGGTAATACCACCTCACAAGGTTGTCGTGGGTGAGTCATAAAAAGCTCTTACCCTGTTCTTGGCAGCCATGATGATGCTTCTGAAGAAGAAAAAGAAATGTGTTAGATTCACTAGAGCAGTTTGTAAAATGCCAGCTTTAACCCAATCCAAGAAATACCAATAGGAGCCTGACGATTATCATTCCTTGAGAGTGTTTTCCAAAGGAAGGGACCATTTTTAATGAAGGGAACAAAGTATCAAGACATCAAATTTATTACCTTTTGTATTGGGGTCTGACTTTAGAATTATATAGGAGTTTATTATTTTTACTTTGTCCTCGCGCTGCGTCCTGAAAAAAGGCATTTTGAAAATTGATTTTCCAGGAACTATAAAATGTCAGCATCACTGTAAATATATTTACAGTGCTTTATATTTCCTGCTTTTGAAGTTTCCGTATTTAAGCTACAAATGTCAGTGAAATGTTGGGTGAAGAGGCTAGTGAAACACATTAAACCCTTTTAATCCCTTCCTTATATGAAGAGCTGGCTTTCCCTAGTAACCAAGAAAGACCCTATTTTGACTGGTACCTCTAATGATGCCTTAAAATTTATGGGAGACAGATTTCTCTGCTTAACTTTATGCTTCTCACTGGTGCTCATTAGATACCGAGTGATTGACATTCAGTAGAATTCTTCTAACGCAGGTTCATTGCGAGCAAGAGTTTGGAAGCAGTGCTGTGCGGAATTTCAATCATGACCTGTGTCTCTGCGGAAAGCAGGGCCCTGCCGCCAGCCAAGTGCTGATTCCTTTACAGGGCACTGTATCTGTTTGGCTCTCTCAGCTGCTCCCATAATATAATATTTCACATGTAAACAAGGAAACACTCATTTAGAACAGATTTTTTCGTTGTTTTCATTAACAGACCATCTGCCAGGCATACGCCTACTATTGTCTGAATAACAAGGCCTGTCATCCCTCCCACGCTCATCAGTTGAGAAAAAGTCAACAAAAGTGGTTTCTTTGAGGGGTCAGCAGTCACCTTGGTCTTTGAGGACAGCGGAATAGCTCTTAAAGATAGCATCGGGCAGGTTGAAAACAGGGACAGGTGTGTTTCTTACGTAGTCTCTGGCCTTCCATCAGGCTTCTCCACCTGGCTGCTCACTATCCAGATCAGACCCGTTAGCTTTTCCTTCTACCTTCTATATAGTATTCTTTTTGTTGGTGGAGTGGGGCTGCCAGAGGAAGGTGCAGATTTTTATGCTCATATACATAGGTACATATACATGTTTTTGTTGGAATTTCAATGGGTGGAAGAATTTTCGTTGCGTTTATTTATAAGTATTTATGGTGTCAGTCCAAATGGAGCATGATAGAAATGTGATGGCCTTTCCAGTTAGAAATACCTGGGTTCAATTCCCTTATTGGGTTAGTTTTTATAGTGTGCTTAACCTATACAAGTTTAGTTATTTGGGTTTAACAAGAGTTAAGTGGCCATTTAAGTCCTGGATTCTGTCTACCAGTTGCTCAGTGAGAGTGTATTCCAGGAATAAGTACCTGTTCTTGCCTTGATCAGTGTAGTCTTAGGGACATTTTTCTTAGTTCAGCATGTTTTTATTATTTAAAGCCATGTATTTTTCATTCAGCAGAGTTTAGAATGCAAGTCAACCACTGCTTCTGGTTCTCAATCAAAGCATCTGTAGCTTTGATGGATGTGATGGTAGATGGTCTCTCTGCAAAGGTAGTTTTTTCAAATAATTGCAAGTGAATTTGGCCTCAAATGCCAGCTTGAGAATCTAACCTCCTCCTAAGATGTGAGTCTACTCTGAAAAAGTAGATTTACCGTTTACTGTTTATATGACTATAAGCAAGTTCCATTTTCCCTTGGTTTTCTCACCTGTGAAAGAGGGATATTAGGGTCTATTTCAAATGATTCTTTAGTAACTACATTAAATAATATATGTGATGCTCTTAGAACAGTGCCTGGCAAATGGTAAGGACTCAGTAAATGTCAAATACTTAATATTATGTTCCATGACTGCCTGCCTTCATATGTACAACGGAGATAATAATGCCCATGTTGAATGATACGAGAATTAGAGATGATGAATGTAAAATGCTTAGCACTGTACTTGACAATATCGAATCCCAAATAAATGGCAGTTATTTTTATCATCATTCAATTCATGCTTTAAATTTCTGGCATTTTAATAGGTCAGAAGAGGGAACTTATGCTAATGTTCAGTTTATCAGGAGACATTTTCATTCATCCTTGGTCTGTGGAAGTGGTTTGACTGATAGCTTGGGGAGGAGCTTTTCTGACTCAGTGCTCACTTATCAGTTACTCTTAGTAACGGTGCTATGATTCTTCCACAAACATTATTAGCAGTCTGAGAATCGAGGCGTGTGTTCTTTGGAGAATGATAATGCTGATAAAGATGATGAAGCGCAGTCGGTGATTAGGGACTGATCAGATGAGTCTCTGGCAGAGAAAATCTCACAAACAGCATGGTCTATTGTACTTAGAAATGTAGGCTTGGTTTGATTTTTCTATGGAAATTTTTGTGAGTTGCTATGGGAACAGTGTACATTTTTGAAATGCAGGTAAAATATGAAAGTTAGACTTACATGAGCAATATGCATGCTTTTACTTCAGCATGTTGATCATATTGGAACAGATGACAGTCAAATAGAGGATGTCATCTTAACTTGTCACAAAAAAACTGAGTTATTTTTTTTTTTTTTATGGAGGCAGCTGAAGTATTGTAGAAAGAGCAAGATTTCCATACTGGACCATACACCATACATAAAATGTGATCAATTTTGTTTAAGTCTTTTAAGCATTTGAAACCTAATTTCTCATTTATTAAGTAGGAACTATAATTCCTCTTTGACATCTTGGCAGGAAATTAAATAGATCATGTAAAATTGCTTGGAAACTCTTAAGGGGGCAGTGTAACCTCGTGGTTAGGAGCATTATTACTTTGTAATTGAAGACACTGAGTTTAAATTCCTGCTTCCGTTAGTTATTCACTGTGTGACTTTGGCCAAATACTTCATCTTCCCAAGCTTCAGTTTTCTAGAAATGATAGTGCCTCATAGGTTTTCTATGAAGAAATAATTGAAATGATATATTCAGATGTCTACCACAGTGCCTACAGATTGTGAGTATTCAGTAAATGGAAGCTGTTACTATTATCATAATGATGACTGTTGTTTAGACTCATCACTCTTTCCCAGACAAACAAAAGAGGTTTAAACTTACTTTGACACTTCAGCAAAACATTTGCTACAAAGCACAAATCCCATGTAACGTAATTAAGTCATGAATTTCTTCCATGGTGGAATTTAAGTTACTTCCATAACAGTGGGGCTCTTACTGAGGCAATAGCCTCTCAGAGATAACCCCACAATACAGTCCCCCCCCATCCCATGCCAAACACAGTTTTGACAGCAAAACTCTGATAGAAATTTCTTTATGGGTCATGGTCCCTTTTTCTGGTGGTTATTTGGGGAGGGTGTGTGGAATGGGGATGGGGTTTGGGGTGATATAAGTTAGTATCACTGTTGACAGTAACCCAAAGGGGGCAGTTGTCTACATGGCAAGGCTAATTTCACTCCCAAATTCTGATTTTCCAAAAGGGAGATTTTACTTTGGCAAGTTCCTTCTGAACTTTCCAATTAATATTTATAAGGCTTTTGTCGAAACCATGCCATTTTTCTTTCGGTATTTTCTTTATAAAGAGATCAGTTTGGTGAATAATGATAATTATGGGCTCTTGGAATGTGCCATGTTGGGTAAACTTTAAAAATTCCCAGACACAAAAGTGGCCAAGTAACCAAGCCCTTTCAACTGCTCATGAACATACAGTAAAAAGAACCTAGGTTCCAAGTGAGACGTCAGTGCTTCTGATATATCTAGCGATTTCTCTGAAAGAATGATGAATTCACTCTCTGTCTAGGACTGTGCTTTAAGCCCTATTTAGTTTTCTTTAGAATAACTTTTCCTGAAACACCTTCTTGAGTGTTTTTGGTATGTTTGGCAGCTTGCTCAGCACTGTAAACACACCACCTCGTCTAATCCCAATAACAGCTTTATGAAATAGATACTGTTATTATCCCCATTTTCTGATAAGAAAACTGGAGCTTAAAAAGGTTAAGTATTATCCCAGGAGCCACAAAAATAGAAACCAACAGGGCCAGGATTTGATCCCAGATCCACTTGATTCCAAAGCTAAAAGAGTAGCACCATGTCGTAGTGCCCAACTGTATCTTCCTTGGTGCTCCTGTTTTTGAGAGTAGCATTTTAGAATGGTCAAAGAACTGGCCTGTGAACCAGGAGAATCTTATTCTAAAATATGAGCTGTGTTTTGGGTGGAGTCAACATTAGTATTATAGGAAAAAACTAGATATTGTTTCTACTGTTTTTTTGTGACCTTACACTCATCAGTTAACCTTCAGGAGACCTCAGTTTCCCTACCTATAAAATGAAGGAAATAGCCCGGCCGGGCGTGGCTCAGCGG